GTTAATGTCTCTCAAGAATACCACTCCCTGAACATGATGGATCACATAAAATATGAGTGACATTCTCAAAACGAATATCTTCAATATCACTTTGAAGAAAATCACCACAAATAACTTCAATATTTGTTGCTTGATAATTCTTTACTGTAGTTCTTAATAATTCAGCTCGTTTTGAATCTTTATCAAATGCATAAATAATACCAGTGTTATTCATAATCGTTGCTAAATGAGTTGTTTTATTTCCTGGTGCAGCACACGCATCAATACATATACTATTTTCAGGTGGTTTTAAAATAAATGCAGGAAAACAACTTGGTTTATCTTGTGATAATAAAGTATCAATTGGTAATGAAAGTGGTGGTGTTAACTTATATAAATTTGGAATAAATTCATCAGGTTCAACCTTATTAGAAATTGATGGAAATACTTTAGTACGTAATGTATTTAATCGATAATATTTGAACGTCTCTTCTTCTTTTTGTTTCTTCTCAAGAATAGGTATTTTTTCTTTATTTTTTAAAATAACTGATTTGATAGCCCCTCCTCCACTAATCTTACCATTAGTAATATAATCATTTAACATTACCATCAACATTGTTTTTTGTTTGATTGTTCTAAAATCTTTGATATCACGAAGAAGATCTTCAATAGTATTCATATTTGCAAGTGTTTTTGATACAATCGCTAAAATAATCTTTTTATTTTTTATCTCATTGTTTTGGTATATAGATGTTTTAATGCTTGCTTTCTTTTTTAATACATTATCAATAACTTTGGCGGCTTGTTTGTATTGAAGTGCCATTTATTTTTTCAATGATTCTTTTCTTTCTTTCAAAAACATTAAAAACCCTATAACAAAAAAAAATTAAAAAATATTATTTATCAAAATAAAATGTTTTTAATTTAAAATAGCAGTTCTTTCAATACAACTAAATGGAAGTAATGGCTCAGTATCATTTAACTTAATTGCTAATTCAAAACAATCACAAGCCCTATTTTCGTTTCCAAGTTGTTCATATAAATTACCCATTAATTCCCATGCATTATGGTCAAATGGTTTTTGTTTTAAATAATTTTGAATTTCAATAATAAGACATTCCTTATCATTATCATTAAGACTCTCTTTATTTTTCTCTTTCACCAATGCAAATACAGCGTCACAACTTCCTTCAATTTTTGCTTTTTGTAATTCGTCAATTTGAGTTGTTTCTCCACATAACGTTGCTCTCATCATATGGAACTCTGAAGGTAGAACTGGTTCTAATCCAATTCTCCTATCTAAATCACTTGAACCTTCTAAATTTGCAACTATTTCTCCTTCTTGAATGCACTTCTTAATATCCTCTTTCATATGAAAAGCATTAAATACTAAAACAGCCTCTTTCCATAAAGCAGCAGGAACGTTTCTTCCAAAGATACTATAAACAGATACACGTTCAGTAAATGTTAGCTTGGACTGAGTAAACGCTAAAGAAGATACTCTGCTTGCTTGATCACCAGCAGTACTTCTTGCAGAACTTCTGGCTGATGAAATAACATCACTTCCGACTGAAGGAAAAATACTTGGAGCAACATCACATTCGTGTGTTTCAGTTTGTTCATTAAAGTGTTTAAAGAGATCAACAAGCATATCTAAATCAGGTTTAATACGTAACTGACAAACTCGTAAGAATAAATCATTTGGATACTTTCTAATTGCTACTAATAATGTAGAACTTGCTGTCTCTATTTTCTTTAATGAAATTAATAATAAAACAGTTAGTTTATAGACATTAAGAGCTGGCATAGGAACTTTAAGTAAAGGCAATAACACTTTTAGTGCGATTAATGGTTGTCTAAGATCAGCATATAACAATGAAATATGAAATCGAGCTGTAGGAGATATCTCTATCAAAGGAAGTAATAATTGAATTGCTTGTTGTTGATGATTAGAAGAGTTTTTGAGAACAGATAATTGTGAATGAGCAATACCTTGGTAAAAACTTGGAATTTTAGAACTTAGTAGTTGTGAAGATTGTTGGGTATTTAATAAGGTATGATATAATAATGTTTTAGATATTGGTGGTGGTGATGGACGGCTGGTAATATGAGAAATAATTGGTAATGAATGAGAATCATATTTTGAGTTTACCATTGTATAAGCAAATGATAACCAACGGTCATGCTCTCCTGACATAGCACTGATCATTCGTTCATACATTCTTATTAACAAAGTTTCAAAATGAGCATGTTGATATGTGATAATAGAGAAGACAAAATAAGGAGTTTTAGATAATTTAGATACGTCCTTTCCTATGATCACTTCAATAAGATTTAATGTTAGAAGAATTTCTTCTGTTTTATTTCTTGGACAATAACAATTAGTTTCATTTGGTTTTTTCATTACTTCATACGAATCTTCAGATATATGAATAGTAAT